GAGTGCAAAAACTAAAGTGAAGACAAAAAACTTCCTGAAAGGCTTCCTGAAAGCATACAATTAATGTATGCCTGGTCTTGAAGTTATGTTCTGGGTTTTTTCATTTGTTTGCAAGTGTGGTTTTGGTTTGAGATGTTTTTTGATTGCTTTTTAATTCAGGACTCTCAATTTTTTGAGACAGCTAAGAGGGACTCTGTTCTTATGAACAGATATTAATTTCACATTTCAACTTGCCTAAGTAAAGTCCTGAGTTAACTTTCCCTAGGAAAGGAGTAAGAGTTGAGAGCAATTTTTGGTGTCTGAAACCTGCAAGCGGTATATTGTCTTCTTAAAATCTGATGTCTGGAAGTAAATTCCTAGCAGGATTATTTTTTTCTGGTAGATGTGATCCATCTTCTCTCTGACACTGTTGTGTCAGAGTGCTCTGATGATTCTAGATATCATCAGAATAATCACTTGCCTGCTGACTGCAGTGCCAGTGTATGTCCACGTCTGAGGTTATCAGCACAGAAGAAATCTTCAGCAACTCAGATGTCTGCAAGGACATTACAGTCCTTTATCCTGCATACCTGTGGAAACCTTAAATCACATTTTAAGTTCCTTGATCTTCTCACAGCATTTGGTGGCCTAAGCCAAAGAGCTCATAGTCCAAAATAAGAGATTTGAATAATTTGGCCAGCAACCCCCTATTGCAGTCACAGAGGAACTGCCCAGTGCCTTGGACGTGGTGTGGTTTAGGAAATGATGCTCACTAGTGTCTGCTGCAGGCTGGTGAGTGGGAGCGCTGTGCTGGTGCAGACACCATCCATTCTCCAGGGTGTCTGCACTTTTTCAGCCTGGTCTTCTCCAAAAGCAAACGCAAAACATCCCTGCATCCATGCACAGTGTGCTCAGCCCTCCGCTCAGGAAGAGGAGTGGAAAGAGACGGCACAAAGTACAGACAAGAAATATTGGATGCTTGGCTGGGGCTATGATTAAGGCAATATGTGAACTTTTTGAAGTGTTAGGATGAGGGAGACAAAAATATTGGACTATTAATGCATTCCAAAAAGAAAAGGGAGATCTTGCCAGAGATCCTAACCCCTTTCTTCTCTTATTAAACTTCCTGTCATGCCTCATCATTGGAGAAACCATGTAGTTGCTGTCTTCTTTGCAACATGTGCAATGCTGTACACTCTATATTTTAATTCCTTGGTCCTCCGTGCTATCCTTTTTTACACTTTTCTCTTTCTGCCAAATTGTCTTTTTCCTCTCTATCGTGACAGACGGGTTTCTTATGGAGATCAGGAGAATGATAAATTAGTGATCCGTTTGTTAACTGTGATGAACCATCAAGGCCAGCTCCCGAGCCTGGAGCAGAATCACGTTGGTGAGGTTTGTGTGCCTCACATGCACTGCAGGCTGTGTGTGCTCCATGGCACTGGGGCCCTGCTCTTCATTGGAACTGCGCTGGCTTCGGGCACACTGAGGCAGCATTGAACAGGAGCCATTTGTTTCCCCTGCAGCCTTGTTGGCTACCAGCTAGTGGAAAACTCCACCGTCTGTGAAAACCTCCTGACCATGTAAATTCACAGACTTCTCCTTATCTGACTATGCCCCGGTTCTGAGAAAGCAGAAGGGAGGAGCTGTAGTGTTTAGGCTTTGTGGTAAACACTCAAAAATATATACTTTCTAGGCTTTGTCTTTGTTTAGTGGCATAACTTGCAGATGGGCAAACAGCAGTCATTGTCTGTGGTTTTTCCTCTCCCCACTGCCATGTGGGAGATTTGACAACTGATATACCTAACTTACCAAACAGAAATATTCAAATACATTCTTGTCAGTGATGAAACTACAGTCCTAAGTCTGTTATTCAAAAAAAAGAAAAAAGTTAAATTAACTCACTCATGTGAGTGAATTACTGCATATTAGCTATGGTAATTGGCTGTAGGCAAAATTCAGACAAGCATGCACTCAACATCTGCCCCAGTTTAGCAGTACGTATATTGCCACCAGCAGTGGATTGTCTAGCACAATGTAACTGGTGTTTTAATCTTTTCTTGTCATGGCAATCAAAAATTCCAGGAAAACCACTGCTTGTGGCAACACTTATTCATGTTCTGTATTGACCAAATGTCCCTGAACTCAGCAGCTTACAGAGTTTTGAGCTTGGTTAGACTCCAGCAGCTGCTTTTGTGCTGTTTGTGGTGAGTCTTTTTGCTTGCTTTTGCTTTTCTTGCACTTTACTCCAGCTTCAGAGGCATGAAATTTCACCTAGATACGCCTATGTTAAGGCCAGACATGTTAGATTAGGAGACCAACGTGTTCTTGGCACTTGAGCCCTGTGCACTGCATAAACTGCCAGTTAAGTGAAACCTTGGGACATCACGGAAGACGAGCTGCAGAAGGTGGCAAGGCATTCCTTAGCCAGCCTGGGAGAAAATTCATTCTTCACCACCCCTGGCCCTTTGCAGTGTCCCATGTCCAGACCTGACAGCTTCTTATGCTCTGAGGGAAGGCAAATCTGTAAAAACATGTGGCTCAAGAGCCTACTGCACATAAAAAGTTGCACTCATGTGGAGGCTGAACTTGTCCTGTTATAGCTTCCCACCACAGAACCTTGTTATGTCTTTGCAGAAAGTTTAAAAAAATTCCCATCAGTGTAAGAACCGCTCTGGTTCTTGCAATCAGGCATCTGATGTGAAGCAACTGTAATTAGTTTCAGAAATAAAATTAATTGTATGAATTGTATGGCCTTGTACTTTTTTTTTTTTGGCTTGTGGTGTTCTAGATGATGAAGTAGATGATCTAGCAATCTGTTCTGACCTTAAAAGCCTAGGAATCTATGTTTGTGGCCCTCTACAGAGACAGACAGTAGTTGCCAAAAGATCTTTTTCTGCTTCATCCAACAAGGAACTATTGCAGAACTGAGACGTGGAATCAGCAATGTATCTGAATGCTAATATCCCTTTATAATTAAGCAAAACCTTATAATTAGTGCAGCCTGATTTGCTGCAAGTCTTTGTGGTTTTGAATGCTCTCATTATCTCCAAATAATACCTAGCTGTGTAATGCCATCTTCAAATAATTATCATCTGTGAGTTCTGGGTAGTAAAACTGACAATGAACTAATCAGGCTTACAACTGCTAAGATACTCTAATAGACAAAATATTTGACTTGAAATATAAAATGCTATAAATTGCATGGTCCCCACGTCCACAGAGACTAATGAGATGTTCTGAAACCTATGGCACACAGCCTGAGCTGCTGAAGTGGTGTCAAGAGTGTTCAGGTTCTGAGTTCTTTTAAGAGAGATCAAGGAGGAATGTCTAGTAATTTGTGTGCCTCAGCTTTTTGCAAAATGGGTGATGATTCCAGTCAGCTGGAGTCCCTGAAGCTTCTACCAGTGACTATGATAGTCTATTTAAAAATTATTACTTCTCTTGTGTTCCAGATTATTCAGGACAGAATATTTAAGCACATATCACGTAACAGCTTAATATGGAACAAACATCCTGGAGGGTTATTTGTACTGCCACAGTATTCCTCATATCTGGGAGACTTTCCTTACTACTATGCTAATCTCGGTGAGTGAATCCTTGCTATAATGTAGTAGCATTTGGAATTTCTAGTGGAAATTTGAAATTTGGTCTTTGAGTAGCGTGTGCCAAGTGACTTGCCATTTGTTTGTAGTTAATGGTGCCTTTTGTTTATCCTGTCTCAGTCTTTCTTCCCTGCCCACTGTAGACTGGAATGTCTCTGACTCATCAACATGCATCATATGCCTCTCCCTTGCAAAGATTTAAAAAAAAAAAATCTATGTCCCTTCATACTTTTCAGTTGCTGGTAATGAATGCCTGAGTTGCTGATGCATTCATGGCCTGAGGGGACATAAGAGGAGTAGCTTTTTCCTTTCTTTGTTTATTTGTGCTTGGCAAATTGGAAAAGTGGTAATTTACCCATGACACTTGTTATTGGAGTGCACAGTTGGTATGGATTTATTCTCCATACGATGTGTCTTCGTATGGATCCCACTAGAAGGAATGAATAGGGCTTAGGTTCATGGCTTTTTCCTGGAACAGAGCTTGAACAATGAGTTCTGCAGGCGAATGTGCCTACAGGCTGAAGTGATCCTGCTTACCAGACTGCTGCTACTTTTGGCTCAGCCTGTGCCATCCCACTTCTGTGGATCTGTACTGCTCACCTACTAAAAATTCACAGTTACTGTGTTAAAAAGGGGAGAAGAAGGTTTCTGTGGTAATTTTGATGAAAAATGACTGTGACCCCACACAGATGAATTTAGATGAGGTTGAGAGCGTTAATGAAGAATAGACACCAGTAGGATCTGTTATTTCAGGCAGAAAAGGAAATCATAGTGAGACAAAAATATCAGAATGGAAGTCAAGCAGAATTATCAGCTCAGGAGGTAATCGATGATGCATGTGGATGGGAATCAACCCAGAAAGAGCAAAAATCTATCAGAGACTGTAATGGAACTGAGGAAACTGAACAAGCTTCTGGAAGTTATGGAGATAGCCTGTAGAAAACACCGAGCATCCAGAGCCAGGCAGTAAAACAGAGCATGTGTCAAGAAGGACATTTGGCTGAACAAACTAGATGTCAGTATTATCTGTGGGACAAACTGGATGGAAGAAAGAGATTGCAGGACATCTTTGGAAATAGTGAGTAAGAAAAGGCAGTAATTGTCTTGGAGTCAGGTACTTCAGAGGGTGTGGGAGTTAACGGGAAGTGTGATCTCCTCATCTGGTATCCTAGTATCTGAGATGAAGGAACATGGCCTAAAAAAACATGGCAAGGTTTACATTTACTTCAGATTGTTTTTTCTATCTCTGTACTAACCGGGGCGGTTTTGTCTTTACTGACCACGTATGTATCTCTTCACTTCAGGTCTGAAGCCTCTTTCCACGTTCACTGCCGTTATCCACGCAGTAACTCCCCTGGTTTCCCAATCTCAGCCTGTGCTGAAACTCCTGGTTGCTGTAGCCAAGTCCCAGTACTGTGCACAGGTAAGCAGCACTGTTTGGCTGTCAGTCACAACAGAGAAAAACCACCCTGTCAGGAACGAAGAGCCTGGTGACTCAGCGCTGTTTCGATTCTGATGTTTCTTTCCTCCAAGATTTCTACTATCTGTGACCTACATGCATGGGAAACAAAAATTCTGAGTATAATGGGAGTGGAATAGAGATAGTAATTAAACCCCTTTGTTACATGAGACAGGTAAAATAATGACTACTCTTTAAAGATCAACATTGTGTGTGCTGCAAGCTGCAAAAGGATGTCTGTGCCTCAAGAGCTGCTGTGTGATCTTCCTTCCTCCTGCTGTGGCTCTTAGACTTATCAGTGCCAGGATTTTGGCTTCTCTAAAAGAAACCCTGGGGAGTTCAGTAGGAGCACCCTCTTGCAGTGGAGTGTCACAAGTGGTTTTGCCTTTAATGAGAGCCAAAGTAAATCAGTGACATCCGTATGACCTGGCCAAGACAGAGACTTCCCAAGTTCCTGTCCGATCTATATTTACCTGAGAGGATGTATATTGTAAGTAGTCAGGTTGGGTGAAATTACTGTAGGAAGTGTTACTTTTATACATATTTGTACCATTGTTTTTGATTTTGAAATTCCTGATTTGAATTTAACATGTCTGTCTGGAGATCTGAGACCTTAGTGTTTGGACTGCATTGCCACAAAGGTCTCTGATCATGGTCCAATACTCTCTTTCAGATTATTGTTTTATGGAATTGTGATAAACCTCTCCCAGCCAAACACCGCTGGCCTGCCACTTCTGTGCCTGTCATAGTTATCGAAGGAGAGAGCAAGGTAGGTATATTCTCCGATGAGATAAGAATTTATTTTTCTGGCTGCTTTGGTGAAAGCTTCGTAGTTCCCAACTATGTGACAGCTCCTTTCTATTCCTTAGCCTTTTGTACCAGCTTGGTCACAGATTTGTGTTTCGTGCATGGGCCCTGTGCTCACAGAAGTCATCAGCATGGCAATTAATGCCTTGAATCTGAGATTCACAGATGGGACCCAGTTTTGAAATGTGGTCCCGAGAGTAAGTAGTGCTGATCCCATCTGTGGAGATTTCTGCCTCTCTGCAAGCGCATGAAGGTAGTGATGCAGCTTCAGCATTGAGTCTGAGCAGTCAGATGCAAGATTTGGGGGTCAGCTGTGAACTGAGAACTAGCCTTTGAAAAGTGCCTTTTCTTATGATCTTGTGGGGTACTGATGCCAGTGATGGGGTCTTACCATCAAAAAAAAAGGAAGAGACAAGGGACATGGGGCACATGTGGGAGCAAAATCACCACATCATCTCTTGCTGTGCAACACACATTTGTTTGTACTTTCACAAAGTCAAAACAGACAGCATCAGATAGGAAAAGAATGGGTTTTTAAAATCCACACTGATGTGGATGATTCCTTTACAATGAGAGAAGCAAGACTTACCTCGAGACTCTGAAACAGATTTGGGCTGGTCCCCTCTGCAGTCGCTGTCAGCTGGCTCTTGAGCTCTGCATTGGCAAAGGGAACTTTTAGTTGCTTTGGCTGTACAATCCTATTTTGAATTTATAATTCTCTCTTTGGTCTTTTCCCCCTGTCACCTTAACAAGGGGAGAGAGGGAGCCCTGCAAAGTTGGCAGCTAAAGGCTCTCACCTTAGCTAGCCATGTAAACAGTATCAGGAGAGTTGCTGCTGGGCCAAGAAAGGCTATAGTGATTTCTGAACCTTTTGATTGTTCTGGAGTTTTTTAATTTTCTTTTTGTAAAACTTGCAGAGGTGAGATAGAGGAGAAAATCTCTGACCAGTTCTACAGTGTTTGTAGAAATTGGCCCCAGGCACTGTTTAGATTCCAAATGAGTCTCCTGAGTACACAAAGGTGTATTTATACTGGACAGTCTCTTCCCTCTAATATCCCAACGTATGCCAAATGGCTTCATGCGTGGAAAGCTGTTTGTTTGGACAAAGCTTGTAGAGCCAGAGCAGTGCAATTTAAAGGTTTCATAAAGGAACTGCTTTTCATCTCCAGACTTAACTGAAACATACTGGCAGGCACATTACTCCTTGCGGGTGATCGCAGAGGTCTGCCTTTACCTAACCTTAACTCTTCCCCATGAAATCAAGAGATATTATCACACCCATTTTACAAAAGGTAGCTTTAGCTATGAAACAAATACATGGCTAGTCCCGACTGTTGTACTATTTGACAATTTCACATGGTCTGTAAAAGATCGGGGCGAGAATGCAGTTCTCCTGCCGGCTGTTTGCTCTGCTTTGCCTTAATGTAAGCAAAGCAAAACCATCAACCTCAGCCAGATCTTGTACCAGCTCTTCCTCCTCAGAACAAGGCCATTGTAGCAATAAAGAGATACTCTCCAGACAGACATTGTGAACATCCTGATTATGGAGACAGAGCTTTCTCTGAATCAAGGCATAGATTCTGAAGACTTGCTCCCAAACACGTTGCAGGGGATGCAGAACTGACAATGTCCATTATGAGAGATGTGTAAAACTCCTCCATGTCTCTGTTTCCATACAGTGGTTTCTTCTTACTGGACTGGACTTTTGTAGTGGTTTTTTGGCATAATGAATAGGAAAAGAAGTCTAGTGACTAGCCAGACTATTTTTACTAGCAAATGAAGGAAAAAAATCGTGTTGTGTCCTTGTTACATCAGCTTTCCAAAGGTGCTATTTAGTCTGCTAAAGAAACCATATAGATTTTCATTTCTTGCTGTTATCTTTTTGATCCAGCTTTCCCATCTATTTCCTGTTACTTTGAGGACCATGCTACCATATCTTTCAAAAGCTTATACTGCATATAGGTTTTATATGTATAGAATGGTTTGGTTGGAAGGGACCTTAAAGATCATCTAGTGGCAACCTGCCTGCCATGGGCAGGGACGCCTCTCACACTAGACCAGGTTGCTCAGAGCTCCATCCACCCTGGCCTTGAACACTTCCAGGGATGGGGCATCTACAGCTTCTCTGGGCAACCTGTTTCAGTGCCTCAGTACCCTCACAGTAAAGAATTTTTCCCAGTATCTGATCTAAACTTACTCTCTGTTTGTTTGAAGCCATTCCTCCTTGTCCTGTCACTCCATCTTTCTTGTGGCCTCCCTTCAGGTACTGGAAAGTCACTTAGAATGTGACTTTTTAAAAAGCTACAACACCTATATAATTCTTCATGCAAATAAAACTCGATACGTGTGTTCTATGGCATATTCTCCTTTTTTGACAGGGAATGTTGCACCATCCTGGTACCATAACATCCTTCACACACAGTCTGGGCTGCTTGGTTTCCCAGCTGCGTAGCCTTATGAATGTAGCAAAGTCCTTCTCAGTGTTCATTATCTTTGATCCTCACGCTCCATAGGAGAACAGTGGGACAGTCTTAGCTACCAGGGAAAATGTCCTCTTCAAAGAAGCTGTAGGTACATCTAATTCTCAGTATGGACCATTGCAGTTTGTTACAAAAGGAAAGCACCCTGCTCCAGAGAGGGAGGGCTTTTTGGAAATTACTCCTCAGATAGAAGCTGTAGGCTGACTGCTGGGGTGACAAAAATGACACTCTTTCACTCTTGAGCTGAAGAGTCCTTTCCATCAGACAGAATTATGCCATGTACCTCAGACAAGAGGAAATAAGAGTGAGGAATAAAATGGAGTATTTACCTTGGAACTGAGAACTTCAAGTGATTTTTATTTCCTCCCCTTCCTGCCTTGGATACACATAGGTTATGAGCAGTCGCTTCCTGCCCTACGACAACATAGTGACAGATGCAGTGCTAAGCCTGGATGAGGACACCGTGCTTTCAACCACTGAGGTAAGACTGCTTGGCTCCTGGGCTCAGCCTGAGCAGATAAGCTCAGGCTCTTCTCTGCTCTTCTCTGGGCTTTGCCAGTGAGCAAATGTTATAAGATTTCCTGCCACACTCCTCAAATTTAACGTGTTGCACTTGTTTCAGCAATGCTGCCACTGCCTGCCATCAGAGGAGCTTTTCGCCCTGGTTAATTGGCTCATCATTAGCATATGGTTCTTCCGTTCTTTATTATTTTAGTAACATAGCTGCAGGCGGGTGTAGGCAGCCAAGAGCAGTCAGCTTTAATATTCTGTTCTCACTTTCCTGATTGGGGTAGCTTCCCCCCTCCCTACATTATCAGTAGGGTGTAGGTGGAGAAGGAAGGGTTGTCAGCAGCAGGGGACTGCTATCGCTCTAAAAGACAGCAGTGCCACCCTAATGCAGGATTTCTCTGAGGAATGTTCTTTCACCATTGTGTCGGCCCATAAAATTGGAGATGTTTGCTAGTTTAGGTCCTTGAGTGTTTGTGCCAAGAGCAAGATAGCACTAAGAAAAGAAAAATACTGTAGAAAACCAATTTTTACAACTGGGATGAGTATTGATTTCTAGAACCTCTTCCTGAGAACCGCAAGGGAAACTGATGACAGTTTATATAGAGTGCAATATTTGGGAAATACATTATTAATGATGGCCAGGGAATAGCTTGAAAAACTCGATTTTCTTTAGTTTTCCCTTTTTTCCCCCCATGTTCATGGCCATTCCTCTCTCCCCACTCCACCTTTATAAAAATGCATTTTTGTCAGTGGTGGAGATGCTACCACTACTTATATATCAGTGAAGAAATGTGTAACATTAATCTTCAGTCACTGCTATATACCCTGTGATGTTACTGAATTTGTTCTAAATTGATGAGATTGCAACTGCTCTTCTCTGTACGGATGTTGTGCTGTGGTTAGACTGCTCCAGAAAGAGCCACAGTAGCCCTCCTTTGCTTCACAAATGGAAGAAATAGTTGACATTGAACCTGTTTCATACCAAGGTTACACCTTGATAGTTTCTGCTAGATAAGGAAGAATGTGGCTGCTGCCAAAGCACTTGTGTGCAAAGCCCTGCACAGCCCAATAAAAGGCATTTATCCTAGGGCTGGAGTTCCTGAGCAGTTTGTTGCTCAGGATGAAGGGTCCCATCTCAGCTGCCTTGGGGACCATGGTAAGACCTCTCAGGGACTTCATTGCCCTGAGGGGGTTTTTACAGCAATCCAGCCTGTGAATTCCATCAGGATTTGGGGCTTTGTTTTGTTTTAACTGGTATTTATTCGTCATCCAAACTTTGGAGTAATTTAAGCTTCTGGAACAGATATGAAGTAAATAAATAGTGTTCCTCATTCCTCTTGGCCGTGTTTTACCCTAAACATTCTGAAATGCAAATATTTGTTGTTGTGTGAGACAACATACACATTTCTTTGTGACTTCTTCCCTCCTGTGAGCAACTTGCAGTTGATCCTGTGTGTTTGTGCAGTGGCTGTTTGCTCTATGAGCCCACGGCCCCTGTGCTGCAGACAGAACCAGCTGGCCAGCTCTTGCCAGCACCCACCTTGCAGCTTCGGTGTGTCTCTACCAGGGTGCCAGGGTCAGCAGCTCTCCTTGGTGGCTCCCCATGAAGAGCTGATGGGCCTCCATTGCTTCACTTCCCCCACTGTACAGCTTATGCAAATGTGGTGTGACATTTCCTTTGAAAATAGCTGCTCATGGGTGGTTGTTGTGGCAAAGCTTCAAGGCCCAGAGAAAGCAATTTTGGAATGTGGTCAGACACAGTCACATTCTCATTGAAAGGAGCAGTCACCAGGCACATCCTCTGGACTGTCCAGCCCTGGGGTAGTAAAGGTTTTCCATCCACAATGGAACAGTGCGTAATTGCTCTGTGACGGGAGCTGTTCCACATGCACAGAGGGATGTGTGCGTGAGTCGTAATCTGAAATCAGCAATCTGAAATCAGCACGGGTCAGTGATCCGGAGGTTTAAGAGACTGGCAGCTTGGTTGGATTTTCCTGCTGATCAGCTGAGAATGGCAATGCTGCTGGAAATTATATAGGATGAGAACTGAGGGATTTTTTTAATAAAGGGAGTTTACTCTTCGGGTGGTTGCTTTAGTGTGTCTCCCTGGTACAAGGACAAGATAGTTGAAAGCACAAGAGAGGGCACTGAGTGCAGAAGCTTTATTATTTATTTAGTTTGAGATTTTCAGACTTCTCTAAAGGAAACAGATGTCACGTTTTATGGGAAAGGCCTTTATAGGGGAAAAAAACTCTCTAGTTCTTTCATGTGGTATTGATCAGAACTATCACAACGGTAACTGGTTTATGCACATTGTCTTTCTAGTTGGCCTCAGATTCCTTGAAACAACTTTAAAGAAAATATCCAGTCCCTAACTTTGTGTTCCAGTCCATGTGTGACTCTTCTGTTTCATAAAAACACTTGTAAATGTGAGAAGTCTGACAGTAATCAACACGAAATGGGACTGTTCTCAGAGAAGCTATTTTTTATCTAACCTCTACACCCTTGACTTTGGCTGCTCTCCTGGAAGGCTTTTCAAACATTTTTGAGCAGAGTTTTAGGTCCCTCTGGTACTGGAGCAACCCAATGTGCAGCGCAGAAGCAAAGCTCTCGTTTTCTTGGGTTTGACTAGGACAATTAGAATCGTCTTTAACTCATTTTAAAATAATTTTGTTCTAGCTTTAGCTCCAAATCTAAGCTGAAGTGGAGGGACTGCCAACCAACTTTTCGTTGTAGTTACCAAATTCTTTTCAAATCTCATGCTGACAAGGCTTTTGCAAACTATCCCAGTCATCCCTTTCCTAGTATCACCAGGGTTTGTTTGGTGGGATGTTGGAGTAGCAGTGTCCTGTCACTTCTCAATTCTCAGAGATTCGAGTTATTAAAATTGTTACAGCAAGACCATTGGCAGCATTTGACATCCTCTTGTGGCTCATACAGTATCAAGCATTTTTCTTAAAGTTTAGGCTCCTGATGCCATTTAACTAAATGGGAATCTTATGTTTCTCTTTATTAAGCAATTATGTTGAACCTTTTTGGTCATGTAGACACTCTTAAAAGTGTGACCAGCGTGGTCTTCAGAACCCTCAAAGCAGATGAAAGATATAACTGGACTCCGCACTGACTGCCTGTTTTAATCTCACTAAGCCACCTTTACAATTTAAAGTATTTGACTCCTTATTTTCCAAGCTTCATGTTAACAGTGCTGAAATGGTAGGTGAGATGCAGAAAGACGTGGAAGTTTCAGTTTCCCACATGGCTGTTGGTATTGCATCCAAGTATAAATACGTGCACCTACACCCATTCTTTCTGTAACTTGAAAAGGTTTGATATGTAAAGGGCAAGTTTGAAAATGTTAATGTAATGCTGTGATGCTCTAGACTCCCTTTAACAGGAACCATTAAAATGTGCATAATTATAGGGCAAAATGTCAAGCAGTCAGTTTAATTTACTGATGAATATATAGAATTAATGTTTTGCAACAGTTCCAAGATTCTGAATTGCGAATTAGTGGCAAGGTAATATTTTGTTTTGTTGACATTTGTTGAAACAGTTTCGGTATTCATTTGGCCTGTGCCTTTGTCCACAGGTGGATTTTGCCTTTACAGTTTGGCAGAGCTTTCCAGAGAGGATTGTAGGGTACCCTGCGCGCAGTCACTTCTGGGACAACACTAAGGAGAGGTGGGGGTATACCTCCAAATGGACTAATGACTATTCCATGGTATTGACAGGAGCTGCTATTTACCACAAGTAAGAACTCAGAGCATCTGCTGTCCTCCTTCTGAACGAAACAAAAAATAGTAAAGAGGGGAGTGGGGTGGTGGGGTGTGAAGAACATTCTTCCGGGGAGGGTCAAAAATAGAAAGATAATAAGTGGGTCTACTTTTTATGGGGTAATAATTTAAGTTCTTGCTTTAGCTCTGGGGATCTGGTAATCATTATTGCGCTTGTTGGGTCTCTTTGAAGTCACTTGTGTTTTGAGGCAGTCGGACTGCTCTTTTAAACATCAGGAATTACACACTTCAAAGAGTTCCCGAATTCATTAAGATGCTTGGCTGAATGGCCTGTAGCATAGCAGAAAGGAGGTTACTTCCAGACCAGCTCTGGGTATGTGTTGGCTGACAGCTGCAGACTGCAAAGTCTTCTGGCTACTCTAGAAATGAAGTACAGTGGACACATCACAGTTTAGCATATTGCAGCGTGTTGGAGAAACCCCCTGTCGTTAGGACTTCATCAGACCAAAGTCCTCTCTAAATATTAGGAAAAAGTCGGAAAATTTTGGAGTATCTAATCCACATCCCCACAAAGGAGAAGACAGACCATAAGGGATGGTATAGGCCCAAAGGAGAATAATTTCAACAGTAAGAACAGTAGTAGGCCACTTTTACTAGAGTTCTTTCCAACTGAACAGTTTGGAAAGAAAAGGTGGATGAATTCATCAGTGTTGTCTGTCACGTTATAGCAATATGGGGCTCTCTTTCCTGCTTGTCCTTTATCTTGATGCTTAGTTCTGCATTGTTTCTTTCAACCCAGTTACAAAAAAGGTGTATGTTCTGTTTCTCCATGAACACTGACTTGCTGAGAAACTGATTTGTTTTCCCTTCTTGTTGGAGAATGAGACTAAAAAAGGAGGTGGTATATTGGGAGTTGGCTAGAAAAACCTGTGTCTGAACTGAGATAGGAATTTCCTGGAGCTTGTGGTACCTGAAAGCCCACTGACTTGTATTAATAACTCTGCTGTTGGTTTCCAGATATTATCACTACCTGTACACTCATTACCTGCCTGCCAGCCTAAAGAATATGGTGGACCAACTGGCCAATTGTGAGGACATTCTAATGAATTTTTTGGTGTCAGCTGTGACAAAATTGCCTCCAATCAAAGTAACACAGAAAAAACAGTATAAGGAAACCATGATGGGACAGGTATGTATTCACAGCATATTTTAGCAATTGGGATAAACTGATAATATAACAGGTTCGCTTCTAAGTTAGGCTTACAAAGTGATACAATTCTGTTAAATTTTTTGCAGTTTTTATTTTAGCAGGACTGTAAATAGGGTGTAGATATGCTTATTATAATGAGAGAAAAGGAAAAAATGGCAAACATCTACTGTGGATGCTGCTTCCCTTCATAGTTTTCTCACACAGTATTATACACTGTGATTCCAAACTCCTGATGATTGTGGTGACTGAATTTCAGTTAAACTTTAGTTTTCTAATTAAATTTTCTAGACCTAAGACCTAGCCATGGACTGCTAGAAGCAGAGGTATCTAGAAAGGTTTTCTATTTTTTATTATTATTAATTAATATGATGTACCAGGATGTCCCTGTGCTATTTTAAATTATATGATATGATTCAAGCACTGACATTGGACGGTCACAACAGAGGTAATTTGTGATATGTAAGTGGTGTTTTCCCACAAGGAACATTTTGTCCCACAGTCATGCCATCACTCACTAGCAGCCATGAAATGCTTGTTTAGATCCTCTTCCAGCTACTGGATAAACCCTGTATCTTTGCAGAAATGGAAATACTTCTAGTAACAGGGATACATGGTAACCTGGGGGCACTTGTCCTCCTACCCTGTGTGAGAGCAATGGGAGGAATAGGAAGTCCTGCAAAACCTGCAAGTCCTGAACAGCCTCCCATCTGTGGTGCCACGGTGTCTGTGATTCTCATTGCAAACATTGCCATGATTACTAGGGGGCAGAAGAAATAAGGGGCCCTCTATTTTCCTCTCACATTTCTTCCTATTAGCATTACTTGGATCTTTGACTGGGAAGTGACCATGACAGTTTGTAAACTCCCTTATCTGTATGTCACTGCACTTTTACCTGAGGTATAGGTAGCATTCAGCAATTCTGACTCATCTGGGTGCCCAGGAGACCTTCTGCAAACAAGAAGGTGCCATCCAGAAAGTACCTATTGCTTCCAGTTTCAACTTCACCTCTCCACAGGGCTGTGCTCTGGCTGTTTGGCAGAGCCTGAACACTCATTTTTCATCCTACAGCGTGGGTGACTCGAGTCAGCCATGAACTATAACTCTCTCCTAAAGACAAGTTGTTCCTGCAGCTTTGGGAAATGTAATGGACCATGTTCATAATTCCTTGAAAGACAAATAAAAAATTAACATAACCTCAGTGTTGTGACAGAGATTAATAGTCATATGGAAATTCACTGTTAATGGCCAAAATGTCTGCTATAATCCTTCAGCAACAAGCTTTTACTTGCTCTTTAGTGGCTTGGTATAATCAGGAGGCTGTAATCAATGCACATTATAACCTACCACTTGGGCTAAACTGGACAGGCCTTGGACAAAGATCAAGTTTGATACCACAGTCATTTGGCAAGTCCTTGACTTTATCTGTTTCTTCATGTTTTAATTTACATCCTTTGACTTTATGAATTTGTATTTGTTTTTAAACTATAGTGGAACCATAAGTGCTATAGAGAGATGCATGGGAAGTGGCACAAAAAAAATTCTTAGGCTCTCAGCATTCGTACTTTATCTTAAATAATAGTTTTTTATGTTTATAAATGCTCTTTAGGTACAGATAAAGAATAACAACATCTTTAAAGCTGTCAGGACATTTTTTTCTAGAGCTG